CAACACACCACAAAAGAGCAAGAAAGCTGCTCATGTGGCAGGTACATGTGGCTGCTGGGGGGGTTTCTAAGACCGTAAGCTGGTGGGTTTTGTGGGAGTTCCTTCAATAGCACAGGCTTGAGATGTGATTTCATCTGCTTTATGCGACTGCGCATTACAACTGCAGATGCTGTGACATGGGGCACACTCCTGTGTTGTTCTTGCATGACCTTTGAGACACTTCACATGTCAGCCAAAACATTTTGTGGTCCTCACTTGGCTATTAAGTTGTAGTTAAGTTAAGAGTTTCTCCCTGTAACAACATAACATAACACACAGTTTCCATGTTCCCAGGTCATACTGGAAAAACATAGAAATTACTAAGTTGCTGTTACTGTTTACTGACCTGTTTTGGGAAACACTTCAAGCTATTTACTCAGGAACATCCAAAAATCCTCTTTCCCATAAACCGTGTCAATATATAAAACTCACCTAATTAATTATTCTACAGTAAAACTACCAAAGAGCAATATAGAGTTTCTACATTTTTCTATGTTTTGATGATGGTGTAGTCTTTTGGCTCACAGACTAACCCTTCTGTTAATGCATAAAGTCAGTCTGCCAGTGCCATGCCTTTTTTTTCTTAGACTGCTTTATCACTGCTCAAGCTGACTGCGCTTTTCTTTCAAACAAATCATCATTCCCACAGCCAAAAATATAAAATGGATCCCTTAGTGACATGCAGTGAATTTCATAATGGAAAGGAACACCTAAGAGGAAGGATGGATGACTGGGTGCAAAGTAATCAAGTTTAAGAGTTGCTTTCAAAGAAAGACAGTGTCAGTGTTTTTTTCAGGTTAAGAATTTCACTTTTTATCTGCTTTCCCTTTCATGACTGAGAGAATCTCTGAGCACCTGGAACGTGGTTATTTAGTTTGTACAAGGTATAAGCACTTGGCAACAAGCAGCAATAATGATAGAGACCGAGAAACTGCTGAGGGGTAGCATTTTTCCTCTCTTGTGTATCAAATAAAATACAACATCCGATAATTAGGACTGGAAGTGTTTTGTGATCAGAAATTGCAGGCAGACGACAGGATGAGTGACGGGAAGGGCTTGCAACTGATTCAAAATGCTGAAATCCGTTTTTATTTTCTATCTTAAAAAGCATGAAAGGGCTTAGGGGATTTGCATACAAATGAAGGGGCCTGTTTTGGCATGCACTGTTGTGTTTATCAGATAAAAACTATAGAAACCAAAGGGAGAAATTTCCGTGTTTAGAATATCCAGTTTCTCTTTCAGCGTGCCAGAAAGTCGGTGGGAGGTTGTGGGTAATGAGTTATGTCTCCCTAGGTAACACCAACAGTGATATACTTCACCACCACTTTCTCACAAAGATTCCATTAATGTTATTTTTGTTATTTTGTGGCTGTAAAAACTGATATGTTGATCCATAGCAAAGGTAACAGTAACCATCCGAGGGACCTGGTCCACAAGTGGTAATTTGAACATGAAAGATAAAGTACAATTGCTATTGCTTTCATCTTCAGAGGCACATTTTCTGAACAGTAATAAGAAAAAAAATAATTGGTAGCTGCAGGAACTTCAAAGAACCACGGGGTAGCTGTAGTGTTGGGATATAGCTGTGTGCTGCATCACACTAGGGTCTGCAAGTCGGATATAGCTAAGTTAAATCAATGCACAATGTAAGATCTAAGCGTGCAAACATTTTTGTATTTGTATTTTCAAACTGATGAAAATAAGGGAACTGAATAAGGGAACAGAAAGAAAGGCCAAAAAGCAGGAAGTGCTTTTGTTTTTTGTTTTTTTAACATGAAGGAAAAGGACAGTACGCATGCAAAACACTTACATACAAAAATCTATAATTAGTTGGAAAAGAGTTCACTCACCACAACAGAGATGCAGTTCTGCCCTAGGTTCAGTTCAGTCAAAGAGTCAAGACCCTGCAAGTTTTCCATTTTTAAGATGTTGTTTCCTGCTAGGTTCAACACTCTTAATTCGCTCAGATGAGACACATTTTCTATCCTGCAGATCTAAAGGAAAGCACAGTAAGACAAAATTAGTTAAAAACAAAACTAAAATGCATGTAAAAGAGCAATCATATCATATATTACCCAATTCTATGCAGTGAGGCACAGATTAAGGCTGGATTAGCAGAGTATAACATACTTGAATTATACATTTGAATTTCTTTCTCTAAAATGACACACATGCTGTCTGGCTAACCAAATCATGAAAACAAAAGAAATAACTAAGAGTCAGTCAATGGTGGAATCTTATCCCACCTTCTCCATCATACTGCTTGGAGAAAAACATTTATAAACCTCTGTAAGAGTGACATTTTTAATACTTCACACAAATTCCCAGTGGCTGTTATCAAGATGGTGATGTATTTGCCTATTCCTACTGTGCACACTATAAACATTAAGAAAAGGTGGACAGTGCTTTACGAGTTGATGATTCTGTGAAAACACAAAATCCAAACATAACTGCTGTTTAAATGGTAAACAGAACAGGTGGATTGAAAATCTATATTGAACATGAGACTAAAAAAGTTCTTGTCTTTGTAGGATATCTTTTCAGATGGTCTAAAATATCAGTGTTTATAAATGTAAAAGCTAAAGAGACATTTATTTAGTAATATAAAGCAGAAACACTGCAGTATGATCTTAGTCAGCACCACAGCATAAATTGCATCTGATTTATATCTTGTTTTGGGAGCTTAGATAGGCGTTCATTAAAATAGAAATTAATAGATTATGAATGTTGGCCCGAAATACAGTCTGCACACTGTAAGTGTTCATCAAATTAAACAATCGAGCCACCATGATAAATGTTGCTGAGAATCATTAAACAAAGGGGCAAGTGTAGACTTTTTACCTATATCTCACTTTGGGAATTGATAAAACTGTAACACGCATTTTAAAATCAAAGGACATAACCTTTACAACGGACAGACACATGGATATGAATTCATAAACTCTGTATCTCTGTACACACTGAAATGGATTTTGGATAGCCCCATTCTAAAATATATGAGAATCTTGAGTTACAGACCATGAATTTGGTGATTTCCAGTGAAGAAGGTCAGGACGCGGAGTTTGGCAAGAGGCTTCTGTCTCACAGGTAAAGGCCTGTTCTTCTAAACTTGGTATGTTTATTTCAAATGACATAGGAAAAATAAGTATGTGTCACAAGTATCGTGGGTCACGGATATTCTTGTGGGGAAATCCTGTCTAAACTTCACCTCATCCCAGAGTGATTTGCCAACCAAACATGGCAGACAGAGTCAAACTTAATCAACATCATCATTTGTAGGAGCGAGAGTTCTATATGACTTTAGCCAACTTCTCTAAGAGAGTGATATTTTTTGTTTTTCAATTCAGTGACCCCACAGGGCATTCTCAGCTATTTCTTGAGAACATTTAAGTCAAACTGTTCAAGTGGAAAACATCACAGCCTAAGTAAAGAATTGGTTATTCAACAATCTCAGTTCACATTGTAACCCCAAGACTTGGTCACTGAGACTGAGTGGGTTGAAGGCCGACTCCCAGAGAGAATATCTCATTCTGAATAG